TCCGCGTGGCCGGGCAGCTGCCCGAGACCGCGCGCAGGACCAGCTCTGAGGAGGCCCAAGGCCTCCGTGGCTGCGCCGATGTGGCTCCTGCTCCCCGCCCCTCGGCCCGGGGCCCGGCCAGGACAAAGCCCTCTGAAGGCTCAAGTCCGCTCGAGACCCAGAGCGACGGCCGAGGGAGCGGCCGGCTAGGGCTGCCGCGCCCGCTTTCAAGTGATTCGGCCTCCCTGGACTCCCACGTCGGCCGGCAGGCACTGTGTGGAGACTGAGGCACAGGGGGCGTGCGGCTCGCCGTCCCGGCTGGCAAGGGCTGGGCTCATTCACCCGGCCTGGCCCCAGCCCCTACCATCTGGCTGCAGCTGCCTTGGGGGCGCCCTCCGCCTCTCTGCAGCAGAAGCCGGGCTTCAGCCTACCCCTGTGCCTCCCCCCAAACCCCGGGCTCCCCCGCACCCCAGCCGGCCCCGCCCTGCTCCCGCAGCCCCCACCGGGACCACGCACACCCGGCTCAGAGATCTTTTCATTTGTGGAATTCAAAAGCGACACAACTGGCATCTCCCAGTGACCCAGACTCTGCTTCTGTGTCCCCGAGGCTGCACCTGCAGGGGGGGCTGCGGCTCGCTGCAGGGTGGGAGGGCCCCCCTTTCCTGGCTGACGCCTGCGAGCTGCCCTCTGGGCACCGGCTCCTCAGAGCCCCCAGGAATGGACGCCCCCAGGCCGGTGCCTGGGTGCTGGGGCCTCCTGCAGGGCCGTGAGGGCTGGGGAGTGGGGTCACGCAGGGGGTGCACATCCAAGCACAGATGGCGGGGAGTGGACCCCCAACAGCCCAGCCTGGCACTGCGCCAGCCGGGCGGGGCGAGTCGCGGGGTTCACCAGCCACACGGGCCTGAGCAGAAGGGTGCAGCCACCAGGGCCTGGGTGTCCGAGCTCAGGGCAAGGCCGCCCCCGCTTCTCACCCGGGGACTTTGGTGCTGTCCGCGGGGCCAGACTGCAGGGCGGGTGTCAGGCGGAGGAGGGACACCGTGCTGGGGTTCGCACTCAGCGTGGGGGGCCCCAAACCACACGGCAGGAGCCTCCCCAGGGCAGGGTCCCCACTGCGGGGCCGTTGCGTGACAGCAACCGGCCCGCTCCTGCAGCACCGAACCGCTGCCAGGCCCACGGCGAGGGGTGAGGGGACGGCACCCGCACCCCAACGCCCGCCGATACCCGCGTTACCCTGCTGTTGGCCCCAGCAGCCCGGGCAGTCACCCCCAGCGGCAGCCCAGGAAATCTGGGAACTGCTGTGACACCTTCAGGTTCCAGATGCTGTGATCAGGCCAACGGCCGTGGCCCTCTCTCCCGCCCTGGGGCCTGGGCCCCCGCAGGGGTGGCGTGGGAAGGGAGGTCCATGTCTCGGGGTTCGCAGGCACCTCGGCCCTGGCCAGGGTGCAGGCCTCATCAAAGGCGCTGACCCACTGAGAGCAAGAGGCATCCTGGCCTCGCTGGCCACGCCCCGTCCCCGGAGCGCAGAGGGCCGGGGGGCCGCCCCCACCTTCCTCTGCACGGACTCAGGAATGAGCTGGAACCCCGGCAAGCCCGGCAAGGCTGACCACGCACTGACCGCTAGTCCCGCTGCCCTCCAGCCCCATCTCTGCCACCGGCCAGAGCCTGTCCGGCCGGCACCGTCTCCCCGCCAGCACGGCCCTCCAGGCTGGCCTCGGGCACTCCGTGGCAGCACCCAGCACCGTGATCACTGCTCAGCCCCCGCCTGCACGGGCCCCCAGGCCCGCTGTCCCACACGCCAGCCTCCTGCCCGGACGCGGGCACGCGGGGCAGTGGGGTGCGCGGCCGGGTGCCCGTGCACTGCGCCCGAGCCGTGTGGGCCGGTGCCGGCCCGGGTCAGGGAGGGGGGTGCAGGCGCAGCGAGGAGCCAGGGTGCCGCCCAGGGCAGGTGTGTGTGTGTGGGGGGGCAGCCGTCGGCCCAAGCGGCCACGGACTGGATTTGCTCTGTCTCCAAGTTCGCGGACAGACGGCGCCTGTCTTGTTCGAGGCGGCGGACTGACCAGCCAACACGGAGTCGGGGTCTGGGTCAGGCCGCACCTGGGGCTGCTCCCTCAACCCAGACCTCACCGACTCGGTCTCATGCACTCCAGCTGGATGCGAAGAAACGGGACACAGGGCTTGACTCTAGGCCTGAGCTGCCACCTGCTCACGGGGTGCTGGGCGTGCCAAGCCCTGGCCGACGCCCCGCGGCGACGCCTGGAGCCGTGGGGCGCCCAGCTGCCTGTGGGCTCCCGCAGCCACGTGCCACCAGGCTGAGTCGCCAGTCCGGCGAGCCCAGAGCTCCGTGAGTTGGAGACCCAAGCGGGCGCTCACGTGGGGGCTCGGCAAGGCGGGTGCCCCAGCGCCGCGTCCACCTGCCCGGGGCACGGGCTGCCCGGCCGCCGGGCCCGGCCTCGGGTCTGGTGGATCAACGGGACCCAGGGACGCAGACCCCCTCCGGGCACGGGCCTCGCCCAATCCCGGGGACACTGGCAGGTGGGAGCGACGGGAGCTCCTGCCTCCGTGGGCCGGACGTCGCCTCTTCGGGCTTCAAAGCAAAGCTGCTGTCCTCGGTGTCCGGCTGCTGGGCCTGAACAGGACCTGCGGCCTCGGCCCCCGGCTCCGCCCCCCTGACCAGCGCTTGGGAGGTGTCCGCCTCCTCACTCCGGGGAGCGAGCGCTGCCATATCGCCTGCCGCCCAGTCCGCCGGCAGCTGCCCGCCAGCCGGTCACTGTCTGGACAGCCCAGCGCAGTCCGTGCGATCGGCACCCCGGGGTGCCTCCCCCACGGGGCCAGCGGACTGAGGGCCAGGCACGGGGGGCTCGGGCTGGGGGAGACGGGACGGGGGCGCTGCGGGGCGGCGGCGGCCGGCGGCCTTCACCAGGACAGAAACCAGCGAAGTGAAATTGACTTCTTATGGCACGAATTCAGGCCACACCTTTTGTCAGTGTGTTTTTCAAACCAACCGTCGTCATGGAAACCCTCTTAAAACAAGATTCGACCTGGTTTAAAGAAGCCGAAGCTAATTACAATAGTGCTTTATATCTGCGCGCACCTTTCTTCTGGGGGCTAATGGCCCTCGCTCATTAACCCACAAACACCCTCTGAAGTCCCCAGGGACAGATACTATTAAACCCATTTCACAGACGCAGACACCCCGGCACGGACGGGCGACGTGGCCACTGGCAGCCGCGGCCAGGAGCAAGTCTGGGCCGGGTCGGGCCTCTTGCTTGTCTCAGCTCCGACTCCAGCTGGCTCGGGGCAGCCTGGTCGTGACGGCTGGGCGCTGCACAGCGCGGCCTGGCGTCCAGTCTGCCGTCTGTCCATCCGAGCAGAGGCCCGGAGGCGGAGGCCGTGCTCCCCCCAAGGCTGTGCCTGGCGGGCCCAGCTGTAGTGGGCCAGGGCGGCGCCTGGCGCTCAGCCTGAGGGGGTGGTGACGGGGCACCGCTGGCAGCAGGCCGCCCCCGCCCCCCAGAAGAGCCAGCCTGCCCGGCGGTTTACCCAAAGGCGCCGCCTGCGACACGTGGGCTCCCCAACCCCCAGGGCCTCGCTGTGGCGCCCCAAGTGGGCCCCGAGTGGCAGCAGCTGTGAGTCAGACACACACTGGGTCGGGGCCCCCCAGGGGCTTCCCGAGCTCTCCCCCCAACAGCCTGGCCAACTCCCCGCGCAAGTCTTTCCTCAAATTCCAACAGGCCTCTGGGAACACAGCCTGTCTGCAGGGGGGGGGGGGCCCTCCACAGGGCCCACTGGCTCACTAGCCCTCGTTGGGGGCCCAGAGCCCCGTCTTCCCGGCCCTTTGCGCCCTCGCGGAGTGGGCCCTAAATACTGGTTGAACAAACCTCAATTTTAGACTCGGGTTACTGGACAGTCCACGAGCGGGACCAGCGTCTGGGTGGCGGAGGCTGTTGGGGCGCTCAGATGGAGCAGAGCTGGGGGGCGGGGGCTGTGGCTCGGGGAGGAGGCCGGGTTCGGGGACACCGGGGCATGCCAGCCTGTCAGGTGGGGCGGGCAGGTGCCGCCAGGAGGCCCTGGGCTAAAAGGGTCCGGGCGGCAGCGGGGGCCAGTGGGATGAGCGGAGGTCGGCTGGCAGGTGGCTCTGGAGAAACCCAGGTGGCAGCCGGGGCGGGAGGCAGCAGGTCTCGGCCCAGTTAGCTCCAGAGCTGCGTGCGAACTGGTGCAGCACTGGCCCGCAGGCGCACCTCAGGCTGACTGGCTGCGGCCCGGAGCACAGGTCCCGGGGTTTCGGGCCCTCTGGACTCGCCTGGCCGCGCGGCCCGGGCCTCCTCTGTGGTCTCCACCTCGCTGCCTGCCCGGGGAAGCACGGGCCCTGCCCCGCGGCTCTGGGCCCTCAGGTGAGGGCGCGTCCCAGGAAGGTGCCCTGCTACGCTCCCAAAGCGCCAACGCAAAGCTACCGGGCTTCCTGACGGCATCGCCGCACGCCGGTAAGTTTCCATACACGTAAGACCGGTTGCCAGCACGGACGCCATCAGGACTGGGGATCGATCTCAGCAACACATCACGGGGGTGTGCGGGGTCTATAGTGAAGTGACTCTCCAGGCCCGGAGTCCAGGAACCCCCAACACAAGGCAAGTCCCTATTTTCCTGAGGGAAAAAAACTTTGGCCGAATACCTTTTGGTTATGTTGGAGAAACAAAGTATCTACTGACGCATTCACTGTCACTTTCCAAATCACTTACCCCAATCAACTACTCACCTGAGCTTCTTGTGGACTCAAGTACCCTTTTCTGTTTTGAGGGAGCTAAGTGTGGAGAGGCATCTCCTTCGACGATGTGGAGAGGCATCTCTTTCGACGAGGACACGTGGAGACGGGTTTTTAGAGTAAAACGGGCCATGCCACTGCCACGACCCGCCGCTTGAATGAGCGCGGCGTGGACTTTCAGCCACGCGCCAACCTCACGTGACGGGTGAAGTGAGGTTCGCAAGTCCTTTCGAAGCCAAGTCCGTCAAACAGGAGCCCAGGTATGTAACATTAGGTTTGCCAGGAACCACAGAACCTTTTGTTAATCCCTACAGCTGTTTTGCTGTAACATCCACTTGCATTTCATTTACGCTGACAGTCACTCAAAACGCCAGCGGAGCGTCGGATGTGGCCTCAGCTTAACTCAGGCCCAGCAACACGCTTCAGCCACCACTTACCGGCAAGCTGGACCGGGCAGGCGGGGCTGCAGCCTCCTGCAGGTCAGAGCAGCCAGGTGCAGGCTCGCAGCCAGGTTCCCAAGGCCGAGCGCCCTCCTGTAGGGCGCAGCCCCGGGCAGCCCACGAGTGGCCTGGAATCAGCCCAGTGGGCCTGACCTGGGGCAAAGGACCATGCCACGGGAGGGCTGGATGCCAGCCTGCGAGCCGCCGGGCGGTCTGGGACGCGGGTGCGTGTCCCAAGCCTGACGTCAAGGGTCCCCCGTGGGACAGAGTGTAACGCCTTGAAGCGCGTGGAGGGAGGGAGGGAGAGAGGTTTCTGGAAAGCCGGCAAGGCAATGGAGGAGGGTAAAGTACACGCGGGACCAGGCTCAGCTTTGTGCTCTCCGGAAGCGACCCGTGTTCTCGGAAGCCGACCGTGAGCAGGAGCCGGGAGTAACCGGGAGGACGGTCACTGCGCTGGGGAGAACAGGTGTCGGGGACAGAGGCGGGGGCCTCCCCACACAGGTGGGCGGGCTGCCCAGCAAGGTCCCTTCCTGCTATTGTGCCTGTAGACACCCCCCCCCCACCACAGACGTGGCCGCGCTGGCGGGAGCAGGTGGGTTTGCAGGAGACACAGGTGTGCGTCAGGAGAGAAGGGAGGCTGCGGAGATGAGGAATGCGCTGAAACAGGAGAAACAGGAGCAGGAAGGGAAAGGGCCGGGCCGGGCAAGTGGGCCCGCCAGCCTCTGCGGCCAGCCCCGCGCCAGGGGCCGGCGTGGCAGTCGGAAGCGCTACTGCTGCAGCTGAGCACAGAGAAGCCACGCAACTACCACGGCACCCCCAAGGTGAACTTTCAAAGTGCTTCAAGGACTGGTCTTGCCCAGAAACGACGCTCAAGTGACGGTGTTACTGTAGGAGTGTTGCAGGCCAGCTTCTCCAGTCGCACTTGAGAAACAGAAGACACGTGTTTATTTACTCCTGTCCAAGTTAGAGATGGAGCGTGGCTCTACCGCTGCGTGTGCTGAACGACCCCAAGCTACACACACACGGGCCCGGGCCTGCCTGCCGCTGTGCCGCGGCCACGTGCCGCAGCCGGACGCCAGGGGCCTCAGCCAGCCTCGCTCCGGCGCGAGCTGACCCTGCACCTGGCGGCCAGCGTTTCACAACATTACAAATAACCACCTGGTTCACCTGGCCGGAAGGGCAGTGCTCACGGGGAGCAACGACTGCACCTGGGGGGTGTGGGGAGGCCAGAGGCCAGCTTGGGGAGGCGCTCAAGTGTCCAAGTCTGACCCACGGGCCAGGCCCAGCCCCACACCGCCCCCTGCAGCCGGGTCGGGAGCCCTCTGGGGCCGCAGGGGCGTGGCCAGCCGGCCGGCTCAGTGGAAGGGCCGCCGCTCTCGGGGCCTGGACTTCAGGTGCCCGGCAGGGCGTCGCAGGCGTTTCCTCTCTTGCCGGTGCAGCTTCTCAGCCTCCTGCCGCCTCTTCTGCTGCTCGGACTGGAAGAGAAGAGCGAGTGAGGGCACAGGGGGAGCCCGCAGCGCCTCGCCCCGAAGGCCGGGCGCACGTCCCCGCCGCAGCCCGCGGCCACTCAGCGGGGGCCAGAGCCTCGCCGCCAGCCTGGGTGCTCCTTGGCACACACCAGAGACGGTTTCCAGGGAGACGTGGGCACCTCCCGGGGCACAGGCCCCTGCGGCCCACCAGACTCGCGCACCGCGCTTCTGCTCCGCGCGGGCTAGAGCTCTGAGCTGCCGCCCGCTCCCCGGGGCTCTGTGGGGCTCGCTCCAAAGAATCAAACGCCCCCAGAGCTGGCGGCCTGCCGCCCCTCAACACTGAGAGGGGAGGGCAGGCAAGGGTGGGCGGCTTAAGGGGGACCATGGAGGGCTGCCAGGCTGTGCCCCTCAGGCCCAGAGTCACCTGCTAAGCCGGAAGCTGCCGGTTCTCCCTCCCTGCCAAGCTTCCCACTGCCGCCAGCCTGAGAAGGGGTCAGCGCAGACGCCGGGGGAGGCCAGGGCTGTGAGTCTCAAAGAACACACTTTTACCAACACACAAGCTTGGCTGTGAAGCGCCAGGATGCTCCTTGGCCGGTGGGCTGCAAGAAGGTAAACTGAGGCAGCGCTGCGGGCATGTTTCAAAACGCTGACAAGTGGCTCTGTGGACACCTAGGAGGCCTGCCTGCCACCTCTTAGTTTTTTGAAGGAAAAAAAAAGGGGGACGCTGCCTCAATATTTTAAAGTTAAGCAGCTGGTTCCGAGTCACCTTTTCCTCCCGCACCGAGTCCAGCCCTCCAGCTGGCCAGGACCCCCCCCGCCGCCGGGTCAGGCCAGTAGCACCCGGCTGGGCCTCGCCCCCCGGCCTCCAGTGCTCTCCGGGCGCCGGACCGCGCACCGCTCCGCAGACTGAGGGCTGGTGGCGAGGACCAGGCCAAGGCCGGAGCGGCCCGCGAGCCCCTGCCTGGTGAGACAGGGCAGATGTGCTGACCCTGAACGGACAACAGAACCGCGAGGGAAACCGTCGGCGCCGCAGACCGGGCACCGCGACCGGGCGCCGCCCGCACACGGCCTATCCAGCGGTTTCTGTCTCCCTGCTAGACGGCACCTAGAAACACTGCTTCTTGCCCAAGTCGCTCTGTGACGGCAAGCGGGGCAGGCTGGCGCGGGGCTTCCGTCCGGGGGCCCTCGCCCCGGTGCCCCTCGGGCTCTGCCAGACCCCCCCGAAGGCAGGAGCCACGGTGGTTCCGGGGCCGCAGCGCCGGCCGGCTCACCTCCCACCTGCACCCCCTCGCTCTGCCCCGAGCCCCCTCCTCAAGCGGGGGGCGTGGGGCGGCGCGTGCACAGACCCCCTTTCCGCTCCTGCCTTAGAGCACAGGAGCACGCTAGGAGAGGTCACCGGACACATCGCGCGTGGTGTACGAAGACGTCTGGGCACCGGTCAGCGGACGCCACACCACACCAGCACGATGGCAAGCACCAGAGTGGCCAGCGGTGGTGAGGAGGCAGGAGAGGACGCTGACCCTCCGCGGAGGGGGCCGCCACGCGGGGCCCCACGGGCTCCTCACGGTGGCACCTCCGCAACAGCCCCCGGGAAAGGCCAGCAACCGAGTGTCGCAGATGGGCGGGCAGGCGAGGCGTGGCCCACCCCCGCGGAGCACCCCCGGCCTGAAGCGGTCCCGGCCAGGCTGCCACGTGGGCGCCCCCGTCTCGCGCGGGGACGCAGCGTCTGGCCGCGGACACCAGGTCCGGAACAGGAAGTGCACAGACTGCAGCCGAGGGGCCGCCGGGGAGGAGGCGCGAGGCTGCTGAAGACAGCAGGGCTCCCTCTGGGGATGCGAGCGCTCTGGAATTAGTGGTGACACTTCTCTGACTCAGCAAACACAGACTGCCCTAAATTGTACACTTTCAAAGGGTGAGTTTTCATGGGCACAATTTTAGGAACTGTAGCTCAATTAAAAAAAATCCTGAGGTGGCGTTTTTGAGGGAACTGTGAATGAGAAGGTTTTGTGAGAAGTAAAGCCGAGCGGTTTACAGGAAATGCCGGCAGCCGTCCGGGGCGCACCCCCTCACTGGCGGGGACCCCTGCTGAGCCACAGCACCCTGGAGGCGGGTCCCGCGTGCTTCAGAGCCCGCCCATTCTCGGCGCTTCGAGGCCCAGGAAGCTTGAGCATTCTCTTACAGCCTCTGGAGGCCAGGCTGTCCCCTTACCGGGCCGATTCTCCGCTGCCCAGGACCGGAGGCCCCGGCCGGTTCCATGCCGCCAGCCCCAACCCAACCCTCCGGCCCTCCGGCAGCAGCACTGCCCGGCCACGGACTGGCGCTGTGCCCTCAGCCCCGAGGGGCCGGGCTACAGGGACGGTGCCAGAGCAAGGGGATGCTTGGGAAGGCAGCTGCGAGCGCACACACCGTTCTTTCGTGAAACAGAAAACCGTAAGAACAACTTACCCTCTTGAGCGTGAACGTCAGCTGCTTGCTGCCAACTGTGGTGTCCGACACACTCAGCGTCCCGCTCCTGGCTTCCCGCTTCAGGCGGTCTTCCAGGGTCTTACTGCAGGGGATTGGAGAGGAGACACGCACGTTCACCTGCTGTGATCCGCCTCAGCCACTAACTCGGACTGGCCACCCGGAGGGCGGCGCCCGCGCGTGGGCAGCACTGGCCCCCGCCTCGCCCGGCAGCGCAGTGTGGGGAGTGGCAGTGCCACGTGCTGGCTGCTGCTTAGCCCTGTTTCCGAGGAAGCACTGCCAGGGTGGGCGCCAGGCCACTAAGCATTTCATGCTTCAAGTTTACGACGGAACTTAAAATAGTTTCAACCGAAAACCTAACACGTGAGGCCTTTCGGCTCCAGCCAGGCAGCCCGGGCGCCGCAGGGCGGCCAGCTCCCGGGGCTAGCGCGGCCCCTTCCCTGGGTCTGGGCTCC